ACAACACCAAAAAAAGTCCTCAGAAAAACAAAACAGATTTCAAAGTACTGCAACATAATATATACGATGTTAAGTTTTCAGCCAAAACTTACTAGACATACAAAGAAGTGGGGCCATGCAATCCATATTCAAGATAAAAAACAGTTAATGGACACAACTTCAAGTGGGCCCAAATAATAGATTTAGCAAACAGACTTAAAAACAGCTATTACATATTCTAAGAAATGAAGGTAAGCATAATATTAGTGAACAGATAAAATGGAAACTTTATTTTTAAAAGAAAACAAAAAGAAATTCAAAAGTTAAAAAGTACAGTAACTGAAATGAAAATTTTACTAGTTTGGTTTAGCAGATATTGAGATGGTGGAAAAAAAGAATCAAGTTGAAGATAGATCAATAGAAATTATTCAGTTTGAAGAATAGAGAGAGAAAAGACTGGAAAAAATGCACAGTGTCTCAGTATAAAACAGTATCAAACAGTTCCACATGGAGTTGGAGTCCTAAAGAGTGAGAAAGGGGCAAAAAAGTATTTAAAGAAACAATGGCCAGAAACTTCCCAAATTTGGTGGAAAACATTAATTTACAGATCCAAAAAGCCTAAAGAACCCCAACTCGATAAACACAAAACTACACCGAGGTTCATATAGTCAAACTGCTAAAAGATGAAGGTAAAGAAAAAATCTTGAAAGCAGCAAGAGAAGAATGCTACATACAGGGGAACCAGGCAAACCAATGGTTGCTTAACAAGGTTGCAGGGTACAAAATAAACATACAGAGATAAATTGTATTTCTTTATACTGGCAATTAGATACAATATCAATTACAATACAATACCAATTACAATCACTAGAAAAATGAAAGATATAAGTCTAACAAAACGTGTACGGGACTTACATGCTGAAAACTATAAAATGCTGATGAAAGAAACCAAGTATCTAAATAGGCATAACATGTTTATAGATTGGAAGGCTCAAAATAGTAGAGATGTTAATTCTCTCCACATTGATACACAGATTTAACATATATCCCAACAAGATTTTTTGTAGATCTACACAAAATGATTCCGATATATAGAAAGACAAAAGTACTAGAATAACGAAAACAGTTTTGAAAAAGAATAAAATGGAAAGAATCAGTCTGATTTCAAAACATTATACAGCCATACTAATCAAGACTGTGTGATATTGGCAGAGGTATAGACATATCAATGGAACAAAGTAGAGAACTCAGACCAACACAAGTATGCCCACTAATTTTTTACAAAGATGCAAGAACACTTCAATGGAGAAAAGGGAGCTTTTTCAACAAATGATGCTGGAGCGATTTGACATCCATAGATTTTTTAAAAAATGAATCTCAATATAAAGCTCACATCTTACACAAAAATTAACTGAAACCGTAAAACTCTACAACTTAGGGGGAAAAAACAGGAAATCATAGGAGGGATCTAGGGCTAGGCAGAGTTCTTAGACTTGACACCGAAAGCGTACTTTATAAAAGGGAAAAATAATAAATTGGACTTCATCCAAAGTCAAAACTTCTGCTCTGGGAAAGACATTGCTCAGGGGATGAAAAGACAAATTACAGACTGGGAAAAAAATTTGCAAACCACATACCCGGAAAAAAAAAAAAAACTACTAAAATACATAAACTTTCAAAACTTAGAATTAAAAAAAAAAAGTCCAATTAGAAAATGGGCAAAAGGGGCACCTGGGTGGCTCAGTCGGTTAAGCGGCTGCAGCTCAGGTCATGATCCTGGAGTCCCGGGATGGAGCCCCACATCGGGCTCCCTGCTCAGCAGGGTGTCTGCTTCTCCCTCTGACCCTCCCACTTCTTGTGCTCTCTCTCTCTAGAGAGAGAGAGAGAGGAAGGAAGGAAGGAAAGGAAAAAGGAAAGGAGAAAGAAAAGAAAGTGGGCAAAAGAGGGATGCCTGGGTAGCTCAGTCGGTTAATTGTCTGCCTTTGGCTCAGGTCATGATCCCAGGGTCCTGGGATCAAGTTCCACATGGGGCTCCCTGCTCAGCGGGGAGCCTGCTTCTCCCCTGCCTGCAGCTCCCCCTGCTTGTTCTTGCTCTCTCCCCTTCTCTCTCTGTGTGTCAAATAAATAAATAAAATCTTAAAAATCTTAAAAAAAAGAAAGAAAGAAAATGGCCAAAAGACATGTAGGTATTTCATTGTAGAGCATATACAGATGGCAACTGAGTACAGGAAAAGATGTTTTAACATCATAAGCCATTAGAGAAATGCAATTAAAACCACAAGATAACCATAATAAATAAGTGACAAATTCTAGTAAGGATGCAGAGACACTGGATCACTTATACACTGCTGGTTAAAATGTAGTAATAGTAATTCTGGATCCCATTTAGCAGTTGCTTTAAAAATTAAACATGCAACTACTACACTACCCAGTGAATTGCATTCCTGGGCATTTATCCCAAAGAAATGAAGACTTATGTTCACACAAAACTTGTACACTAATGTTTATAGCAGTGTTATTCATAGTAGCCAAAAATGGAAATAAGCCAGATATCCTTTAATGAATGAATGGTTAAAGTGTGGCACATCCATACCACGGAATACTACTGAGTAACCAAAAGGAATGAACTATCAATAAAACAGCCTGGAAGACACTCCAGAAAATTACGCTGAGTGAAAAAAGCCAATCCACAAAGGTTACATACTATATGATTCTATTTATGTAACATTTTTGAAATGACAAAATGGAAATGGAAAACAAATTTGTGGTTGCTGGGTGGTTAAAGAGGAGTTGGAGGTGAGAGGAGGGAAGTAGGCTATACAAGGGCAACATGAGGGATTCTTGTAGTGATGGAAATGTCTGTATCTTGACTCTTATCAGTGTCAATACCCTGGTTGTGATACTGTACTATAAATTTGCAAGATGTTTCCATTGGGAAGAGCTGGGTGAAGGGTACATAGGATCTCTCTATTTTTTTATAACCACGTGTGAATCTACAATTATCTCAAAATGTTCAATTAAAAAAGAAAAGTGATTTCTGAATTCCCACCTTTCTGGTTTCCATCAGAAAACCGTAGAATGGCATATTTAAACCACAGTAGACCTTTTCCAGCCTCTTGACTTGTAAGCTACCACCAAACCTCAGCTGCATGCATATGTTTTTCCAGACTGTGGACTTTTTAATGGCATTCAGCTGATAATGAATAGATAATTTCTTGATCTGGACTACCCTTGTTATAGAGAGGCAGTAGGGATGATGATCACAGTGGGGGTGGTGATGATAGTGACAAAAAGAAGTTCAAGATAAAAGTTACTGACTTCTCTAGTACCTCATACTATTTTTTTCTTTTTTACCACATCTCAGGAAGTTTGATATTGTTACTGTTTCTTTTGAAAATATACATATATTTTTCATCTGCAACTTAATTGATAAGAGCAAAATTGATTTAGAGCTAAGTGATAAGTAAAAGTGAAAGTAAGTTGTTTAAAACAAGGTCATGCTTGCTGTGTGCAGACAACCTTCACTTCTTCTAGTGGTTATATCTCTCTGCCTATTACGGGGCCATGATACAGTGTCACTCACCTTTACACAGTCAACCAGTTCCACTCCACAGCCAGTCATCGTGTTTGTTGTACTGAGACATGAAAACTAAGGATAATAGAAATGGCTGTCTGTGTATTCTCTCTCCCCAAGGCCTGTCCTTTAATCCAGCATGGTAAACTGAAGTGAACTTTTCAATGAGTGAGATAGAACCTCTTCCTTCTTCATACACTTGTGCCAGCTTTTCCACCTATGACCACCTATGAAAATCGGAAAACTAAGGGTTAGGAGTCTTGGCAAGTCAAAATCTCCCTAGGTCTGAGCCTCTTCTTGGTTGTTAATTACATCTTCCAACAACGCTGAGTTACAGTGAACGTATGTAATTAAAGAAAAAGACAGCTAAAGCTTGGAGCTATATTTCATTCACTCAGTATCCAGGCAGAGGTCATTTAGGGAGGAAACAGTTAAGTCAGCATGGCCCCATACACCTAATATTCTTAGTGTTAATATCATTTTAACCAGTGGCTTAAAGAATTAGCCTATAGAAATACTGTTTGGCACCACTGGTACCATTTTGTGTTGGTTCCAACTGTAAATATTAATGCCGCTTCTTCCTCCTTACCACTTCTATCTCTTGTCACCCAGAAGTCTCCATCTTCTTTTCAAATTTTCTTTAGTCCTACTACTCTATCTCTGTTACACTTAACCTGGTTTATTTTAGACTGGTAGGCCTTGGCCCATTATACCCTTCAAGTAACCATTTATGTACAAGTGATCTTCCTTTTCCTTACAAGGGCCCTGTTCTTAACACCACTGTGGTAGGCTGGAACATGCCAGCATCTGTTGCTGAGGCAGTGAGTTCTCCACAGACTGAGAGGACAAGCGGAAGGAATAGTAGTCAGTTTCTTGTTGACTTACTCAGTAGTTGGGGGGAGCTGGAGTTAGAGAATGATGTTTTAGAAGAGACTAGGTTTATGTGATCTTGCTGGGTTTATTTTTTGTTCTTTTGTCTGCTTTTGAAAAGGAAGGCAAAACATTTTTTTAGTTCCTACCCTGACCCTGGTCCTTTAGGTGTGTTAACTATTTTGTCCTTAAATGATAATGGTAATAATAATTAATATATGTGTAGTGCTTTATAGTTGGTAACAAGAGTTCTTATGTATGATTTCAGTGATCTTCACACCCATCGGAGATGAGTAAATAGAAACTCTGAAGTTTCACAGCTTCTCAGAGGCAGTCTCCACATTTACTGTCTTCTCCAAATTCTGTGTTCCTTTGCCTAGGCCACATTGCTTCTTGGGGGTGTATAGTTTCCCTTCGGTTGTAAGCAGTAGAAAAGCAGGATTCCAGCATTTGCATTCTTTCCTGAACAGCTCAGCAAAGGAAAGGGGTAGTTATGAGACTAGAAGGTGGATGAGAACAGACCATGAGGGTCCAAGCTCCCTTGCTGAGGTTTTATCTTTTCTTTCATTTCAGGATGGCGATGACACGGAGAACTATGTTCCAGAAGGGGGAGGTGCATAACAAACCGTCAGGATTCTGGGGAATGATAAAAAGTGTTACCACTTCAGCACCAGGAAGTGAAAGTATCCTTTATCACTCTGCTTGATTCTTTTTCTCAACTCTGGACCAAGGCCAGAAGACAAAAGTAGTATTGGGATGGTCTCTCCTAAGGTACCTGACTGCATCAGAGTCCAGCTGGCCAGGGCTAGGCTTAGGAAATACAGAGTCAATCTTTCCAACACCCCTAAAAGATCATAAAACCATTGTCCTTGAGCTGAAGAAGTTCTAAAAATCACTCTTTCCATTTTACAGATGAGAAAATAGACCCAGAGCGGTTAAGTCACACTGTGGCTTGTGGCAAAGATAGGCACTCCTCTTAGTTCTTTCCACTACACTCTTCTATTTCCTGGGTCTGACCAAGCAGCATAAAATATAGTGGCTCCCTAAAATGGATGGTTTGTATATGTAGGGGATGGTAAGGGCTTATTTCTAAAGCAATCAGTATTTTTAAATAAATTTTAAGCAGCACTGTATCTTTAGTGACTTTTGGTTTAAAGAATCAAGATGATTGGGTTAATGGATTGTTCTTGGCCCAGCCTTGCAGTGTTAAACTGATGCCCACATTGAGTAACAAAATCTCTTTGTGCTACCAGACTATTAAGTCAAAACTTGGGGGGCCTGAAGTGAGATGGCATATTCCTGCTTCCTTCTCTGGCCTGAGGAAGTACAAATTCCCTTTTGCTTCAACTTGAGGAAAAGGATGTAATCTGTGCTTGCTATAAATTGGGGCAGTCTTTCTGGTGTTAAATGTAGGTAAAAATTAGGTCAAAGAAAGGCAGGATGACATGACCACGAGAGAGGAAAAACAGGATTACATTGAATTCATTTAATCCAGAAACATTTATTTCATGTCCCCTATTTCCAGGCAGAGTCCTAAGGGATAAAATGATGAACAGAGTGTACTCTCTCTCCTCAAGAAGCTGACTATCTAATCATGGGAGAGGCAGACATGGAACTAGTTAAACCCTGTTGTTTGACTGCCTGGACCATGAGAGTAGCAGCCACTTTGAGGAAGGAGCTGAAGGGCCCCCAGTAACTTGAGTACTACAGGCATACCCCAGAGATGTTACAGGTTTGGCTCCAGAACATCACACAAAAGCACATATCACAATGAAGCGAGTCAGATGGATATTTTGGTTTCCCAGTACATATAAAAGTTATGTTTATACTGTATCCTATTGAGTGTGCAAGAGCATTCTTTAAAAAAAAACAGTATAAAAAGTGCTAACCATCATCTGAACTTTCAGTGAGTGGTAATTTTACTGATCACAAATCCCCATAACAAATATAATAATAATAATAATAGTAATGATGATGAAAAAGTTTGAAATAAGGTGAGAATTACCAAAATGTGATACAGAGACGCAAATGGCGCCAATAGACTTGCCCAACAGGATTGCCACAACCTCCAATTTGTTTAAAAAAAAAAAAAAATCTACAAAGTACAACAGAATGAGGTATGCCTCTAGTGAGAAAAATCAGAGTAGGGAGGATTTGGATCAAAGTGAATCTTCCAACTTGGGCTGTCTTCACTACTTTTATTAGTTAAAAGTCCATAAAAGCCAAAGTTTAGGTTTAAGCTATCTTAGTGACAATAAGTCAAGTCAGTAAAAGTATCAGGATTATTTCACTTCTCTGGAGCCCCTGTCTCCTAAATGGAGAAAATAATAGGTAAGTTCTTGGAAGTAAGTTCTTGGAAAGTAGCATAGTGTAATGGAAAGAACAGGCCTTGGAGGAAGGCAGATCTGACTTGGCATCCACACCTGTTAGCTGCATGATTTTGAGCAATTTACTTGACTCTCTGAGCTTTGCTTTCCTTATCTGCAAAATGGGTAATAATACCTATCTCATGGGACTGTTAGGAGAATAATAGAAGATAATGTCTATAAAGAACTAAAAAGTCATGTTTATAAATCCCAGCCTGTATTGGAACTCCATAGTGTTAGTTCCCTTTCCTAATGTTACATTTATTCAGATAATTTAGGGGAAAATTATGCTGTATTATAGGTGTTTTACTATGTAACTATTTGAGATTTCAAAATTATATTTGACTTTAACTAGATCAAAGAAAAGCAACAACGAACACAACCATCTGTCTGAGCCACTTGAACTAGTGAGAAACTTGAGTGGTAGGTGTTTGATAATGGAGAAGCTTTTACACACCTGTGTGGGAGGTTGGGAAAATTGCTCTAAAGGAGTACTGTTGTCCATGAAGCAGGAAATTGAATATATAGGCAGTTCCTAGGATCTACCATAGGAAAAACCAAAAGCATATGCTTTCTTCATTGCTATTTCTTGAAACTTCTATGTGATTTAAGCCTTGATGCCCATTTTGTGCCAGATCTTACTCTTATTCAACAGGAAGTGGATGCTTTGGAAGAACTAAGCAGGCAGCTTTTTCTGGAAACAGCTGATCTATATGCTACCAAGGTACAAGGCAAGGAAACGGAAATGTGGTTTTTACCAGTATGATTGAAGAAAGAACAAGACTAAATAGCTTTTTAGTGTCCTCTCTGGCCAAGCAGTGCAAGAAAGACCTCATAGCTCCAGTATCAGCCATGAAGCTTTAGGAGTCTGCATTCTTCATGACATTGCTCCTACCCCCAGCAAAATTCTTACTCAATAACAGAAATTAGTGGGATATTTGAGAGGTTTTTCAACTTTGGAAGGTGACACACACCACTTCTGATTCAGGGTCAAGATGGTAGCTCCTGATTGTTTTTTATTCCCTTATAAATTAGTAATATTGTGAGAGCAGTGCCATGATCTAGCCATGTTTTAAAAGATCCAGATCAATGGGCACCTGTGTGGCTCAGTTGGTTGAGTGTCCGACTCTTGATTTTGGCTCAGGTCATGATCTCAGGGTCATGAGATTCAGCACCGTGTCAGGCTCTGCACTGGGTGTAGAGCCTGCTCAAGATTCTCTCTCTCTCCCTTTCCCCCTGCCCCTCCCCCTGCAAGGCCCCCTCCCCCAGGTCTCTTTCTCTCTCTTAAAAAAAAAAGAAAGGATCCAGATCAAGAAGTGACCTAACTATGAGAAGTAACTTTCCTATTTACACCTAAAATACAATATAATTTAAATATGCAAAATCTATTAGTTAAGTTCATTCGAACTATTTTTATCCTTTTCAAGGATCACTTCATAGGAATAGCCATATAGGGTAGAGGTTAACATAGGCTTTGAAGACAGACCTGAGCCGAAATTCCCCTACTCACTAGCTGTGTGACCTTGGGCAAGTTATCTAACCCCTGTTAAGTCTCAGTTTTCTCATGTGTACAATTAAGATAATAGAACATGTAAGAGTTGTTATAAAAATTAAAATAGATAATGTATGTAAGGTGTTTATCCCAATTTCAGGCTTAAAGTAAGCATTCAATAAATGTTGCCCACTAGTATTATTTTAAGATTAATATCACGTGTGGGTTTTTCACTCCAGCATAACAGTAATTTCATAGAGGCTGGAATGTTTTGGTTGAGCATAAGTTTACATTTTGCTGAGACTAACCATGTTTTGTTGTTTGTTTTCCCTCAGGAGAGAATAGAATACTCAAAAACTTTCAAGGGGAAATACTTTAATTTTCTGGGTTACTTTTTCTCTATTTACTGTGTTTGGAAAATTTTCATGGTAAGTATATTAGTTTTAACTGTCAGGGTTTAGGTTATTTTCCCCGCTAATGGCAGAGAGAAAAATGGGTTTGACTGAGGCCCTGAACTAAATTCCAAATCCAATTGAGTCAACAGAGAATGCTGTCTTTCACATCCCTGAGCCTGACTCCTCCCCCTCTCTTTTTTAGGTCACCTAGAGGTTGCATTTTTCTTCATTCAGAAATCATTAATAAGATCATAGTTTATAAACTATATGAAGGGAGTACAAAAGTTTCTTATTTTTGTACTGCTTTCTGTATTACCCTTGAGTATATCTATGTGACACAATCCCTACCTTCAGCTCAGAACAGAAACCACTTCTCCTTTTTAGTAATCTGTATTTACCTAAAAAAAGTTCAGTCCAAAGTAAGTGCCACAAGTAAAACATATTTCTAGAGATAAATTCATTTTATGTGCTTATAGCTCTCATTCTTCTGTGGCTCTCTCTTAATGCTCTCTTCTTTATGATGAGGGAACAGAAGGCAAGCTGAAGACAAAGCAGAAGCTGACACCCCACAACTCCCCCTCCATGGGATCTATGTGACAGTCCTCAGGCACTCCTGGCTGCCCTAAAGGAAAACTTACAGAGATCACAATCCTACAAGACAGGAGTCTCCCTCAGTTTACAAATGTCTTAGCAATCTATAAGAACAAAGCATTTCTATCAATGGCCTAGCTTCCAGAAGGGAATGTAGATACAATTAAATGTCCTTATAATCTGCAGCCCATTGACAGATACTTGAAGCGGGCAAAGTATAATGTCTCCAGGAAGCTCCCAACTATCTTACTGTTAAGCCTTACTAGAAGGAAAAACAACCTTAACTTGACAATGACAAAGCCTGTGGTATCCTGTGAGTCTTCTTTAGCATACAAAAATCCTTTTGAAACCTCTCTTTTCCTTACATCCCCCAACTCCCACCCCTCACAACCCCAGGGCAGCAGCTCTTTCTGCCCATGGGTCCTGTCCCTGTGCTTTAATACACCACCATTTTGCACCAAAGACATTTCAAGAGTTCTTTCCTAGTCGTCAGCTCCGGACTCCATCCCACTGAACCTCAATTATATTCTAAAACTTCATCATTTATATGCATTTTATGTACATTCTTCTTGTGACTCATCTGTAGATATTCATGGATTTCAGTGTGATTACAGAAAAGGCTGATGGACTTTCTGGTTCTGTGACTTTCCTACTGGGGCTGTGTTTGCACAAAGAGGAGCTTTATCAGCTTGTTAATTTTGGTCAATATAGATGAATGGAAGATTCTGGATTTTAGTAGATCTATGATAGATCTAGATCTTTATAGTTTGAGATTTTTACATTTAGGTATATGATCCATCTGGAGTTAATTTTCTCAGACGATATTGGAATGTGGATCCAAGTTCATTTTTTTCATTTAGATATCCACTTGTTCTAGCATATATCTAGCATATAATATTATGATATTTTAATAAATTGATGTCAATACTATTCGGAGAACAATTTTTAAACCTTGATTCATTTAGTGGAAGAAGATAAATGAAGATAGTATGTTCAATTAGCTAAGCTACTAAAAAGTTTTTCCTGAGTTGTAGACTTTAGAGGAGCATATCCTTTTTTAGCAGCTTTATTGAGGTGTAAGTGACATTTAATAAACTGCACATATTTAAAGGGTATATAGTTGGGTAAGTTTTGACAGATGTATACACCTGTTACAACAACTATCACCACACTTAAGATAGTGACCATATCCATCACTTCCAAAAACTTTCTTGTGCCCCCTTGTAATGTCCGTCTCATACATCCCCAGTCAACCACCAATCTGCTGTCATTATACATTAGTTTATATTTTCTAGGACTTTATATAAATGAAATCTTAGAGTAAGTACCCTTTTTCTGTCTGACAGCTTCTACTCAGCATAATTATGTTTCTTTCATGTTATCGTGTGATCAATAGTTTATTCCTTCTCATTGTTGAGCAGTATTCCGTTGTGTAATTATACCAGAATTTGTTTTATCTGTTCACCTGCTGATGGGTATTTGTTTCCATTTTGGGGATGTTACAAATAAAGCTGCTATGAACATTTGTGTACAAGTTTGTATGTGGACATATACTCTCTTCTTGGGAGAAAACACTTAGGTATAGCATGGCTAGGTCACATGGCAGATGGATGTTAAACTTTTGAAGAAATGGCCAAACTTTTCGAAAGAGGTTGTACTATTTTACATCCCCACTTGCATTATTTGAGAGTTTCATTTACTCCACATCCTTGCTCACATTTTATAGTCAGTCTTTTAAATTTTAGACATTCTAATAGGTATGAGGTGATATTGATTGTTTAATCTGCATTTCTCTAATGCCTAATGGTGCTAAACAACTTTTCATGTGCTGATTTGCCACCTGCATATTTTGGGGGAGAGGGGAGATACAGCTATTGAAATTTGTTGCCCAATTTTTAAATTAGGATTTCTTTTTATTGGGTTTTGCAAGTTTTTCACTATATTCTGGAAACCCTTTATCAAACATGTGATTTTCAAATATTCTCTCCCAGTCACTAGCTTAGCTTGTCATTCTCTGCATAGTGTCTTTCAAATAATTGAATTTTTTAATTTTGATGAAGTCCATTTTATCTTTTGTTTTCTACTATAGGTTATGCTTTTGGTGTTGTACCTAAGAAATCTTTGCCTAACCCAAGGTCACAAAGATTTTTTTCATCTTTTATTCTATAAATTTTATAGTTTGAGATTTTTACATTTAGGTATATGATCCATCTGGAGTTAATTTTCTCAGACGATGTTGGAATGTGGATCCAAGTTCATTTTTTTCATATAGATATCCACTTGTTCTAGCACTGTTTGTTGAAAAGATTATCCTTTCTCATTCAGTTGACTTTGCAATTTTGTCAAAACCTAATTGACCACATATGGTTGGGTCTGTGTCTGTACTCTGTTCTTTCCAATTGATATGTATGTCTGCCTTTATGCCATATAGCACTCTGTCTTGAAATAAGTCTTGAAATCAAATTGTTTAAGTACTCTTTGTTCTTTCTTTAAACTTGTTTTGGCTATCCTGTGTCCTTTACATTTCCATATGAATTTTAGAATCAGCTTTTTAATGCTGCTGAATACAAAAATATCTGCTGAAATATGTATTAGAATGTCTGAATCTTCAGATCAATTTGAAGAGAAATGACATCTTAATATTGAGTCTTCCAATTGATAAACACAGTGTAACTCTTCATTTATTTAGATCTTCTTTAGTTTCACTCAGCAATGTTTAGGTTTTAGTGTACAGATCTTTTACATCTTTCATCAGCTTTATCTCAAGTATTTAATATTTTCGGTGCTATTATAAATGGGACTGTTTTTATAATTTCAGTTTCTGAGTGTTTCTAGTATATAGATACACAACTGATTCTTGTCTGTTGATCTTCTATTTTCACAGCCTTGCTAAATCCCCTTATTCTAAAAGCTTTTTATAGATTTCATAGGATTTTTTTCTACATAGACAATCAGATCTCTGCAAATGAAGACAGTTTTGCTTCTTTGTTTCCTATCTGGATGCCTTTTATTTCTTCCCTTCCTTTCCCTTCCTTTTCTGTCCTATCCCATCTTTCTTCTTTCTTCTCCTCCTTTAGCCTTATTGCACTGATCAAAATCTCCTGTACAAAATTAAACAGAAGTGGTAAGAGCAGTCATCCTGATCTTGTTAAATATGGTGTTAGTTGTTGGCTTTTCCTAGATGCCCTTTAGCAGGTTGAAGAAGTTACTTCTACTCATAGTTTATTGAATGTTTTTGATCATGAAAGTGTGTTTGATTTTGTCAAATGCTGTTTCTGCATCTATTGAGAGGAGCATATGACTTTTCCTTTTTAGTCGACTGGTATAGTGAGTTACATTGATTAATTTTTTAATATTAAACTGGCCTTGAATTCCTGTAATAAACCTTACTTGGCCGTGGTGTATGTTGTTGGATTAATTTACTAACATTTTCCTAAGAATTTTTGCATCGATGTTTATGAGAAATATCAGAGTATAGTTTTCTTGTAATGTCTTTGGCTTTGGTGTCAGAGTAATGCTGACCTTAGAGGTTGAGAAGAATTCCTTCCTCTTCCAATTAGTGGGAGAGTTTATATGGAATTATTATCATTTCTTTCTTAAACATTTGGTGTAATTCACCAGTGAAGGCATCTAGAGTCTTCTTTGCAGGAAAATCGTTTAGCTACACAGATTTAATTTCTTTAATAGATAAGAAGGTTTGTTCAGATTGTATATTTCTTGAGTGAGCTTTTGTAGTTTCTGTCTTTAAAGGAATTCGTCCATTTTTATTAAAGTTGTCAAGTTTATTAGCATAAAATTGCTCTTAATATTCCCTTATTATCCTTTTACTATCTATAAAATCTGTAGTGATGTCACCCCTCTCCTCTTTATATAACACCTTTATTGAGATATTCACATACCGAAAAATTCACCCGTTTCGTGTACAGTTTGGTGGTTTTTAATATATTCACAGAGTTGTGCACACATAAATACAATCACCCCAGAAGAAATTCCATACCCATTAGCAGTCATTCCTTATTTCTTCTCTAGACGTAGGCAGGCACTAATCTATTTTATGTCTCTATAGATTTTCTATTCTGGATATTTCATGTACATTGAATCATACAACGTGTGGTCTTTTGTGATTAGCTTCTTAGTAAAAGTTTTTAAGGTTCATCTATATTGTAGCCTCTATCAATACTTCATTCCTTTTTATGGATGAATAATATTCATTCCACGATATGGATATGCCACATTTTATTTATCTGTCCATCAGTTGAGAAACATTGGGTTGTTTCAACTTTTTGGCCATTATAAATGATGCCGTTGTGAGCATTTATGGATAAATTTTTATGTGGGTATATGTTTTCATTTCCCTTAGGTACATGCCTGTGAAAGTAAAATTGCTGGGTCATGTGCTACCTCTATGTTGAACCTTTTGGTGAACTGCCAATACGCCGGGCTGTTTTCCCAAGCAGCTGCACCAGTTTACATTCGCACCAGTGGTGTAACAGTTGTCATTTCTCCACATCCTCACCAACACTTATTTATCTTTTTATTAGAGTCATTCTAGTGGCTATGAAGTGATATCTAATTCTTGATATTGGTAATTTGTGTCTTTTTTCTGATCAGTCTGGATCAAGGTTCATCAATTTTATTGAACTTTTCAAAGAACCAGCTTTTGGATTAATTATCTGTATTGTTTCTCTGTGTTCTATTTTATCAATTTCTGCTCTGATTCTTATAATTTCTCTTCTGCTTATTTTGGTTCTTTTTCTAATTTTGTAAAGTGCAAGCTAAGATCATTGATTCAAAACTTTTAATATGTGTTTTAGTGCTATAAATTTCTTGCTAAGCATCTAACAAAATACATTTCTGATGTGTTGTATTTTTACTTCATTCAGTTCAAAATATTTCTAATTTTTCTTCTTTGACTCATGGGTTATTCAGAAGTATGTTATTAAATATTTGGGGGATCTTGTGAATATCCTTCTGTAATTGATTTCTAATTTAATTCCATGTCATCTGAAAACATACTTAGTATG